GTGCTAGCGAGGACCAGCTCTGCTGCCAACGTTCCATAATTTAGCTATGGCATTGACTTCAAATAAGAGCTGGATAGGCTATTGGATATTCCACTAAATGAACTCCTTGAGCAGCCTCTTTAGCTATAGTCTGCATGTTCATTGCCCAAAACCCCGCTGTGTCCAGGGGCCATTGAGAATGAAGCTGTGCATTTTTGTAAGGCTTCAAGACTGGATTTAGAGTCCGTATAATGATGGTGCGAGCAGTAAATTTAGAAGTAGGTCTATTGCTTTTTAATGGCAGACAAGTTCTCCAAGTGCTGTGATAGACGAGTTTTAGAGTGTTCAGAGTGAAGTTTAGCAGGGCGATGTTCAAAGTCTATTGTAGAAAAGTGGCAGGACCATAACTCGGCATCACGTTGAAGGCGTAGTATTCTTGAAAGAAAGGCCTCTTTCTCTGCAGTGAGATCAAGAGGCGGAACACCAGCTAGAACCATTAAGGCCTGATTTGAAGTAGTACGATAGGATCGTGTAATTTTCAATAGGAAGAGACGTTGCATGGATATCAACATTCTACGCTCATGCTTAGTGAGGTGACAGGCCCAGATACCTGAGCAGTATAATATGATCTTTTCAATCACTGCATGGTACCATTGTTTGAGCATGCTTGATCTGATACCCCAAGTTTTGGCAGTTGTCCTTAACATGTGCTGATGTATAATCTTGACCTTTAAGTTGATCTGTCGGATGTGTGGTAACCAAGAGAGTCTGTTATTGATTGTGACACCTAGATATTTCAGATCTTGAACGTAGCGAATAGAAGCACCTTGAATACGTAATGGTGGATTTCGGCGCAAGATACCACGTGCTGCAATCAGGAGTGCTTGTGATTTAGCTGTGGATATTGTGATTTTATGTTGGCGGGCCCAGTCTGCAACGACATCCAGAGCGGCCTGTGCAGAATGTCCAATACGCGAGCGTCCTTTAACAATTAGAAGAAAGTCATCAGCATAAGCTATTGAGGTGCAGTTATTGAGGTTCTGAAGAGCATTAAGCAGAGAATTAGCAACAATGGTCCATAGAATTGGACCAAGGCAAGATCCTTGAGGACATCCCTTGGAAAGTGAATGATGTACTATGCTACCATCGAGCGTAATTCTAACCCTGCGATCTTGTAGGTAGCTGTAAATTAGATCAGTTAAGATGGAAGGACAGCCCATGGTGACCAGAGCATCAATGATATCTGACCACGAGAGAGAATCAAATGCGCCTTGTATATCGATGCTAATAACTAAAGTGTGGTGGAGGCTCGCTCTATTATCTTGAATTGTTAAGAGCAGTCGTTCTATGGACATCTCAGCTGATCTACCCTTTAGAAATCCGTACTGAAAATCATTCAGGATATTATGCTGTGAGAAGTAGTAATTAAGTCGGTACTTACGTATTAACGCAACCAGGCCAAAATTCGCATAAATCGCCAAATTATACTTACGCAACCCTACGTGTTAGCTGTAAAAAGAAAAATATATACCACAGCAATCGGCGGAATGCCGAGAAAAGAAAGAGACTTTATTGGTTACTGTACTCAAAGCGCCGTTACCCTCATGGAAAAATGCGAAAATATCAAGAAGAAGAAGCATCATTTATTCGGATTGCTGGAAAGGATATCTGAGTTCGAAATGCTGGATTTCTGCATGGAACTGTTAATCACAATATAACTTTGTGGATCCCACCCCGGCGTTCACACACAACATGTAGACGCATGTGGGGCTCAATGGCGCAACAAAAACACAGAGGACAGCCCGTCATCATCTGACTCATACCTTATCGATTATATAGCTCAAGCTGTTAATGGCGAAGACGGTTTTCAATCATAAAAGCAATAGCCAAAAGATCCGCCGAAAAATAAAATCATTCTGTGCTGTGTAGTAGTAAGTTAAGTCTGCCAAATTATGCGCTCTAAAAGTTTGCTGAGAGATGGAGACATATAGGCCTATAAGACCTTGGCTGAAATGCATCCTTGCCGTTCTTCAAAAATAATACCACCTCTGCTAACTTAGAATTGAACGGAAAATGACGAAACTTCCAGCAGGCATGTATGTATGAAGTTGAGTAAGAATTGGGGATCTATTTTGAGGAGCATTCGCAGTATAGAATTGTCAAGGCCATCAGGCCCAGGCGCTTTTTTTGATATTGAGATGCCGTATGATATTGGTGATTTCCTGTAGGGTCGGAAGTTGACAAGTGGGCTCTTGACCAGGTGTATAATTATTATAAAGATAACGTAATGAAGCCTGGTGTGTAGTGTCCTCTGTCGCATCATCGTCTTGAAATAAGGAGGATAGTATGAACTTGGCTATGTCAGCAGTAGAAGAGGCACCCGGAGACAGACCAGCTGGAAGGGCAGTAGGATGAAAAATTTTATTGGTTGCTATTTTGAAGGCAGAACCAAAGGTATCATGGGACTGTGTGCAGAAATTACTCCACGAAATTTTCTTTGCCTCTTTTATGTGTCTTTTATAGATTGCCTGACTGCGCTTATAGGTAATAAAGGCAGATATTCTTTGATCAGCATCCAAGATTCTCTGTGCCTGTCGTCTTAATCGTCGCAGTTTGCGACGTTCAATCGAAAGCTCATTCGTCCACCAAGAAACCTTACGTGGAAGCTTGAATTTGCGTAAAGGGAATGCCGTTAGACAAGCTTTCTGTAGTGCAAGAACAAGGGAATCATACGCTTTATCAAGATCTTCCTGAAAATTGCAGTTGACAAAAGATTGCTTTAGTTCAGGTAAGCAAGGAAAAAGAGCTGTTTTGAAACTATTTAGGCCGCCATAAATTGTTTTAAAACGTAGTCTTCCTATTGCAGAGAAAGGAGTGGACAGGCTAAAGGAGATCGCTCTGTGATCACTGACCGTCTCAATAGAATCTACTCCCCAGTCATTAATGAGAGTAGAAATTGAAATGCTAGCCAAGGTAATGTCAGGCCATCCTTTCGCTGAGACGGTGTCAAAAGTCGGCGGAGAGTGTGGAGAGTTTAGGACTATTAGATTAAGGCTATGGATGAAATCCAACAGTATGGTCGAACGAGCATTATCGGAATGTGCACCCCATAATCTATTGCTGGCATTAAAGTCACCTCCAAGTAAAATATTGGGAGTTGCACCGGAATATAGGAAACTTAATTCATGTAGAAGAGCATCCAGATTCTTGCTGGGTGGAAAGTAAACGTTGACAACAAGGAGCTGGGCATCCAGAGTGTCTAGTAGAATAGAGACTGTATGATCTGTAGTATGCCAGAGAGTGGGTGATAAAGGTCCGTTATATACTATTGCAGCCAAAGAGTTGTGTGAGCAGAAAATCTTATTTCGCGCTGTGGAACCAGTGAGTGTGCCAAAATTATTAATGTGAGGTTCTTGAATTAGTCCTACCGAGACTTGCTGTTCATATTGCGTTTGAATGAAGAGGCTGGTGGCAGCTATTGAACGCTGTAAATTGCATTGAAGAAATGACAATGAATCGATACGGAATTGAGTGGAATTTAAGTTGAGGTCTGTATCAAAAGCTGGAGCGCCTTCTTGTATGTGGGACATAATTTTGAGTTAGAAGGATGCGCACAGTCTATTGAAATATTTTCTCTGTTACAAGTAATTGTGCAATTAACACAAACTGGAGTGTCTTGACAGTCTGAAATTGGGTGTTCGTGTACAGCAGAACACTGAACGCAGGCCGGTGGAAAAGTGCACTGTTTGCTCTGATGTCCAATACGTTGGCAGTTGAAGCAACGCTGTAGCCGAACGTACCTCCGAAACTGGCACGAGTAGAAGCCAATATAAACCCTGCCTTTGGATCCTAAGCGTGAAGAATAGGCCCTATCCAGGCGAACAATCCAATTGTTTTTATTATCTGGGCGATGGAGAGGTGTTCTGGGCTGTATGTCACTACTATTAACAGGAGGTATGATTGAAGCAAGAGCCTCTTTAATGTCTTCTGCTTTCGCCTCAGGAGGCACTCCAAACAAAATTATATTATCAGAAATGGGCTTAGCTGTGCGTAAGTGAAGCAAGTCTGAAAGCTCCGAATGAGAAGTGATAGAATCTTTAATGGAACAAAGATGCTCCTCAGTAGCACAGCGAATTAGGAGCTCGTTTGCACGGGTAGGCCGGATTTGCTGAATTTTAGTACCAACTTTCTTGGGCACTAAAGTGGTGGCCAATTTTTCTTGTAAGGCCCTCGGAGAGACACTGCGATCCTTGGATGAGACCAAAAGCACGTGGTCAGAAAGCTTCTGCTGTCTCTTAGGTGGGGGAATCCTTCTTCTTTCGTTCTTTCTTCGCTGAACAACAGTAGATTGACACTCTGCAGGACAGGGAGGCTGTTCAGCAAGAGGGGGAGAATCCTTGAAGGTTGAAGGCTGCTCCAATAAAGAAATGATCTTATTAAGAGAATCGTTTTGTCCCTTGAGATTAGCAATAATTTGATCTCGCTCTGCTAATTCCAGCTCCAACTCTACTATGGAGCGTTGTCCAATAATGATTGTATCAGAAATTTGTTTTTGAGCTGTCCCAGTCAGTTTATGCTTCGCGTTAGAAGCTGAGAGAAGCTGAAGCGATGCACTACTATGTTCTAAATAATTTTGTAATCTGGTAGAGTTTGGAGCAGCAGTAGGCACAGGAAGAAGTGTAGCAGAAGGCGCTTCAGATAATACAGAAGGTGTGGCCGACACAGAGTCAGTTACTGAAGTAGCCATTCAATATTATGTGAAAATAGTCAAATAGATCAAACACAAGCTGAAAATAATACTATTTGCTATGTAGATGAAAATGTGGTGTAAGTCAAACAAAAGTCAATGGAAATCCTATGGAAATTAAATTTTTATGCTAGGCATATGAAATTGGCAAGATATGTGTCAAAGTGGTGAGAAATAACAATGTCCACAATTATTTTCTTAAAAATCTAAAATGCACAGAGGTTATAGGCTGACAAAGTTACAAAAACCAGTTATACAGAAAAGGATTATCGTAACACTATAAAACTATTGTTTATGATACCTTTATACATAATGAAATATAAATAAGCTTTAATGCATAAAATAATAACTAATATCACTGAATTGGCTATTCAATAGCTAGAAAATTTCTTAAAATTATTAGTTATAAGATGTGATAAGGCAGATCATCAACATAAATTAATGTAATCTAACAATAACTATTTCAAATAAGCAAAAATAAATCAACAGTTACTTATAAAGTACAGAGTTTATAAATTGGCAACTATTATTTGAAATTCAAAGAATTATGAATACAATATTAAAGGCAAATTTGGTGGAACAATGGTACAAGACTATCTAACCGTCTAATGTAAAATACAAAACTGAATTAAAATTAACTAAAAACATTAAATATACAACATAACTACACAGGAATATTACAAAACACAATTATAATTCAGATTTAAAATCTAATATTAATTGAAAAGTAATAAATAACTGAAAATACAGTCAAAAGTCGTTAATCCGGACTCATCGGGACTTCGGCGATTCCGGATTATCGATTTTTCCGGATTACAGATCATCAGTTTAAATCGCGTAAGATGGCATGCAGAAATTCTAAAATTAAAATATAAACCGTAATTTATGAAATAAAGAACAATTATGATCTAAAGGGTATCAAAATTTACAAAAAAAAAGCTTAATATTTATTTGTTTACTTTATTAAACATTTCTTTCAATGTAAGTTGTTTAAGTTGCTTCGTTTTATGTGATAATACTTTCTCTTTAATTCTATAAACAGACATAATTTTTTGTTCAGTTACAAAGTTCCGCTATTCAAGTCCCGTTAATTGCTGTGCCAAGAATACCGACTAACTTGTCAATCGAAATTTTTTCGTTTTCACTAACCTCTCTGTCACATTCTTCATGTCTTTAGCCATTTTTTTGCAGCAATTCCACTTTTTGTTTGTTGGACATCGAAACATACTTTCGTTTTGTACGATCCTTTGGGAGCTCCAGAATCGGAAATTCTATTTGACATAATCGAAAGTTCAAGTTTACTTTTATAGTATTGCTGTTTCAGTCTGCAAAAAATAATAAGCCGGATCCAATTCGATAATTAAGGAACAACGCAATCATCAACATTAACTGATATAGATAATTAGATAATTTTAGCTTATACCGTTCGTTATACATAAAGCGCGCACGCGAAAACGTATTCTGCGCTTGCGCACACGCAAATGCGCAGTCGTAAGAGGTCTTGCGCGCACACGTAAACGCCTATGCGCATGTGTCAACGCGGCGCATGCGCAAAAAGTTTTTAGCTTTGAGGTCCGGATTATGGGTGTCCGAATTAACGACTGTATTGATATTACGGAAATGCTATGGCAAAATGTAAACAAGTTATCTAGTCCCCCTCTAGACTGTAATTAAGCCAAAAATCTTTACAAAGGCTTGAATAAAGAGCAGGTGGCAGGTGAGGGAGTATCCAAAATTAGTCCAAATGAAGAACCTCTATCCAAATTGAGCAACTTTAGGAAAAACTTGAGCTGATATACAGTATCCAAGCTTGCCTTTACTGTATTACAATGGAGGAAAACATCATCTTTATCCAAGTTAAAAAATTGCAAATAAAATCCAAAGTAGCTGTCATAATCCAAAGTAAGTCACATCAAAATGATCTTCTCATAGCGGGCTTCAAGAGGACACCAAAATCTTTCGAATCACGTGAATATTTCCGCAGAAATTAAATAACTTTGAAGAGCAATAAAATCATCAAACAACAGTTGAAACAAAAAGTCAATCCTATCCTTGAAAATTTACTTATGTCTCCTCACAGGAAATTTTTAAAACTATAAATATCTATCGGAGGAGTAGAAAAAGGCTGCGTTGAAGTAGGTAAAGGATTTTTAACTGGTTGGTGAGGGCTTTATTTTAAAAGCCACTGTATTGTCTATTAAATGCATAATTTATCTATTTGCGTATAATATTTGGCACTGTTCTTTTATCAGGACCTAATTCAGAAATGTAGATATGTATGCATGTATATATGGATGTATGTGTTCATATATGTAAGTACGAATGTATGTGTATACACATACACATATATGCCTAACAATGCATACATTTGTCAATCCGGTCCCGATAAAATAGAACAGTACCTAATATTTTGCCAGTTGATTTTTTTTTTTTTTTTTTTTTTTTTTTTAGTACATCTCCACCGATAAGCCATGAGAATACATTGATGAAGCAAGGGATACTCAGATAACCGGCAGTTGGCGAACTTCCTGAAATCGCGTTCGGCAACTTGGGCGATACGCACCATACAGTGGGAGGACGGTTTAGGTTGCTAGTTTAGATTTTCTCTACGCTAGGGAGAAAGGGAAAAGGGAAGGGATATTTTCTTTCTATATGTAAATTCTGGGATGTTTTTTTGAGTGAAAATAGGTCGACGTGTACATGGATGATACCGTGTATGTGCAGTTCTTAAAAACAGGGCAAGCAGTTTGCGATTCTGCACTTTCTCCCAATTTCGCACCTAATCTTCGTCATGATTAAGCACTTTTGTTCCATAAAAGCTCTAGCATAAGCGTAATTCGGCTAGCAGATTGTTGGAAAAAAATGTTGAGAAAAGAAAAAAAAACCCTTCGTGAAAACAAAATGGCGTCCAAAAAAAACTAGAAGGTTCATGTTACACATGGAGAAAAACAACCATGCAGCTAGCCCATTTCAGTGTGTTCAAACCTGGGTTGAACTACCAGTGTTCAGGGGTCATAACTTCCCAACGACTGGTGGGACCCATATTTAATGTGTATTAACAATATTTTCCTGCGACAGAAATGGCTCACATTAGGCAATTGATAAAACTGAGGAGTGCTGTTAGTTCAACCCAGTTTCAAATCCCAGCAAATGGATTGACTGTATGAGAGTTTTTGTGGTTTTTTTTCCATGTGTAACATGGAAGGGAGGAACTTTTCTTATAAAAAGTATTCCACAAAGGCATTCTTCCTCTTAGCCAAATAGCTATTCAGTCCTTTGTTATAATCTAAATAATGCAGTGTTAAAGTATAATTATGATCCAAACAGAACTATATTCAATAATTTAAAAACTTAAAATTGTAATTTTAGAAAAAAGAATAACTTGTTTATAGACTGTACGAATTGCGTTAATAGCAAAGTACAGAATAATTTCTTTAAAACATGAGGTATCATATTTCCCTTCAGAGTTTATACTCTATAAATACTTGAAGTGTCTGGTGTGCAAATATAGAAAAATAACACTTCTCTGACTCCAATGGAACCAATATTTTATTCCTTACGAAGTTATAGATTCTTATTCATAAGATTTATTTACATTTTACATGCACGTTCAATCGCGTGACAGAAAACCGAAGTTTCTTTACTTCGTTCTTCGCGGAGACTAGAAGGTGTTGCCATTCCGCTTTAACTAAATTTAATTAGAAACTTGACGGAACTGAAGCGACACTACACACTAATGTAATAGTAATATTAAATAAGCAAAAAGTTGCTTAGCAGTACATAACAAATCTTTCCAAGTTTACTCTAAATTATGAACTATCAAACAGAAGTATTTACAGAGAAGATAGTTCATGCATAGTGCAACAAATTTTGAAGAGACTGATTGCCTGTATGATGCAAACTGTTTTGCTATATTATTTGATATAGGGTAGCTAAAACTCGATCACAAAATGAGATATAATACCTGTTTGGCATGTACAAAATTTAAAGAAATTTTTTATATACCACAAGGCACGTTTTTGCAGAATTTGTGATAGTTAACTATAAATTTTTGAAACCCTAGTCTGACCTTGGCACCAAATTAGCACCATTGCGGCACGTTTCAGATAACCGACCCTTGGCGATTTTTCGGCCGCCTGGCGCATTTTTTAAATCCAAGATGGCGGCCAAAATTGTTATCCCTGTCCGAGGGAATTCGGAGAGGAAAAACAATTCTGAACTACCAAACATGCAACATGCAAAGAACAAGACAAAAATTAACTTACCCCAATTTATGCTGACATACTGACGATTATAATATTTTATGCTGCGCACAAGTTTATGAGATATAAATTAAATTACTTAAATTGCATTCAACGCGATTAATTTAATGTGGATGATCGGTGCGAACTATGTTTACATCGATCAAAGTTGTTGTTGGTTCTGGGCGGAGCTTCGTTGTGACGTCGGCTTACACATGAAGTGACGATCACGTGACCTCCCTGCGCGTTCGGGGATTTAGTCTAGTCTAGTCTGTGCGGCTATTGCCGAAATGTCGCGCGACTGCGCAACTTTTCCGGCTCTTGATAATAAGCCCGAAGGGCGCATGACGTTGAGATTTCTTGACAATTTAAAGAGGTCAAAGGTCGTTACAGGGGGCGACCATGCGTCGCAAGGCCTTTGAGTGGCGCGCATCAAGAAGTTCGCAAGCGGAAGCCGTGAGGAAACCGTGTAGCATATATGTGTAGCATATAATACAAAAAGAGGACACAGACAACATCTGACAATTTCAATATGACATCTGAAATAATACATAATACAATAAATATAATTAAGCACTAATACACAAATATTACTAAACATAAAATAGTGATAAAATTTAAATCATATAGCATACAACTTAATACATAACCGAATAGAATAAATACATTATATACACTATATACAAGTTCAATTTAAACTATTCATGATAGTTTACGTCGGGGAAATTTAAGTCCCGGGCGAGGTGGGCCGCTAATGGT